AGCACACTCAGAAGCATACATGAAAAGCAAACAAATACTCACTCAACACGCTCAGTAGCATTCATGGAATGCAAACAGAGACTCATCACAATTAAAAACATTCATGCAAAGCAAACACACAAACCCTCATTCAACAAACTCAGAAGTATCCATGCAAAGCAAACAAACACTCACTCACTCACTCAACATACTCGGAACCACTTATGCAAAGCAAACATACTCAACACAGTCAGAAGTATTCATGCAAATCAAGCACACAAACACTCACTCGATATACTCAGAAGCATTCATGCAAAGCAAACACACATACACTCACTCAACGCACTCAGAAGCTTTCATGCATAGCAAGCAGACAAAGACTCACTCGACACACTCAGAAGCATACATGGAAAGCAAACATAAGCATATACTCACACAACAACACAACACACTCAGAAGCATTCATGCAAAGCAAACGCGCAAGCACTCATTTAACACACACGAAAGCATTCATGCAAACATTCAAATACTCATTCAATACGCTCACAAGCATTCATGCAAATCAAGCACAAACACTCAGAAGCATTCGAGCAAAGCAAACACACATACACTCACTCAACACACTCAGAAGCAATCATGGAAAACAAACAGAGAACGACTCACTCATTCAACACACTCGAAAGCATTCATGCAAAGCAAACATTCAAACACTCATTCAATACGCTCTGAATCATTCATGCAAATCAAGCACACAAGCACTCACTCGACACACTCAGAAACGTCCATGCAAAGCAAACAGACAAACACTCACTCAACAAAATCAAAAGCATTTATGCAAAGCAAACAGACAAACACTCACTCAACAGACTCAGAAGCAAGCATACAAACACTCACTCAACACACTCAGAACCAAGCATACAAACACTCACTCAACACAATCAGCAAAAGCACTCAGTCAACACAGTTAGAAGCAATCATGGAAAGCAAACACATACCCACTCACTCGACACGCTCAGAAGAGAAGCATTCATGCAAAGCAAACACAAAAGCACTCAGTCAACACAGTTAGAAGCAATCATGGAAAGCAAACACATACCCACTCACTCGACACGCTCAGAAGCATTCATGCAAAGCAAACACACATACACTCACTCAACACACTCAGAAGCAATCATGGAAAACAAACACAAACAATCACTCAACACACTCAGAAGCATTCATGCAAAACAAACATAGAACGACACACTCATTCAACACACTCGAAAGCATTCATGCAAATCAAGCACACAAGCACTCACTCAAACTCAGAAGCATCCATACAAAGCAAACATCGGCCTTTTTCTTTCTCTCTTTACATCCGGTCCCATTTCGCTGCCAGACCTCTCCATCTATCCAGGCTTGGCACTGGCACCGGAGCGGTCTGCTCGACTCCCCGGTGGCTGGGTTATGACAGTCGGGACAGTCATGCACCACAGACAGGAGCAACTCAACACCCTCAGTAGCATTCATGCAAAGCAAACAAACACTCAACACATTTAGAAGCATTTATACAAAGCAAGCACACAAACACTCACTCAACACACTCAAGCATTCATGCAGAGCAAACAACTTAACGCACTCAGAAGCATTCATGCAAAGCAAACAACTAAACGCACTCAGAAGCATTCATGCAAAGCAAACAACTAAACGCACTCAGAAGCATTCATGCAAAGCAAACAAACACTTACTCAACACACTCAGAAGCGTCTATGCAAAGCAAACAACTAAACGCACTCAGAAGCATTCATGCAAAGCAAACAAACACTAACTCAACGCACTCAGAAGCATTCATACAAAGCAAACAACTAAACGCACTCAGAAGCATTCATGCAAAGCAAACAACTAAACGCACTCAAAAGCATTCATGCAAAGCAAACAACTAAACGCACTCAGAAGCATTCATGCAAAGCAAACAAACACTAACTCAACACACTCAGAAGCATTCATGCAAAGCAAACAACTAAACGCACTCAGAAGCATTCATGTAAAGCAAACAACTAAACGCACTCAGAAGCATTCA